AGGAGGCGACTCGTGCGCGAAAGCCAAGCATCGGGAACTATCTCACATGTGAGGACCAGCTGTCTACTTTGAAATAGCTGTAACCCTAAACCCTAAAACGCTAAAACCCTAAACCCTAAACCCTAAATCCCTAACCCTAAACCCTAAACCCTGAACCCATTCTGCAGCTGCCTGGCCTTCAGCAGGTGGCCCAGCTTCTGCCTGCTAAGAAGGGGATGACAACCTAAACCCTTTTAGGGTTTAGGGTTCAGGGTTCAGGGTTCAGGGTTTAAGGGTTAGGGTTTGTTCATGTTGGCCTCAGCCTCTTCCTCCTGTGGCTCATCGAAGCCTGCAGCACTTTCGAAGTGCAGATTGGGATGCCGAACCGCATACATTCTGAGCAAGGCTTTCGCTGGCGGCCCCCTTTCCGGGCACACCGGTTCTCCCAAACTTTAGTTAAAGCATATTAACCTCTACACTCATTAGCCAGGGCCTTCCCTTGAAGCGGCCGCCACGCCGTGATAGGTTTCCGCCTTTGCGCACCAGTTTTATCAGGTACCGTACGTCAGTCACGAGCACCAGGACTACTACCACCATCCGGGCTGTGTGAATGACGAGGGACTGAGGAACAACGTGCAGGACATGCGCTACGCAGGTGCCGCTGCTGGCGGGAACGGGAATGTTTGAGTCTCGAGCTTTAGTAGTAGTCAGCCTTTCCATGCCGATGTTGTGAGCTGCTGGCGGCACGGCTTGCAATTTCAAAAGCCAAATTTCCGATGACACGTGTCGACGACTTCGATGACTTCGATGATGTACCTTTAAAGCACTGTTGGAACTTAGAAACTGCCCGGGAACTTCTAGCGACTCTAGCGGTCTCCTGCTCCCGAAGCATCCACAGCACCACGAATAGCTTCCCCTCAATACCCCCCCCCACCGGGTGATTTAAGAACTAGCCCCCTATAACCCAATAATACTCGAACCGACTCTTTAACACTACAGAAGCACGATTAACTGACAGTTGAAGAGAAGGGATCACAACTTGAGGCGCGTACGGGATGTGTTCCCCACCTGAACAGCTCACGCTTTCCTTTGCAATCACCCAGACGCTCCATTCTTGACACATAACAAATGCAGAGGTCAGCTTGCGTGTTGGGAAAAGACAGTCATGATGCAGAGAGCCCTCAATCAAGACTGGCATGGACCATCGCCGCCGTCTCTGATCTTCCGCACATGCTAAGGAAGAACCCAACATGAACCCCTAAACCCTAAACCCTAAACCCCTAAACCCAAAGCCCAAAACCCTAAAACATTAAACCTACTCCATTTCCCTGCAGACCTTCCGAAATCTTTCGAGGGCGCGGCCACGTCTCAGTGGGATCCCAGGAGTAGCTGGTCTGCTTCCAGTTCCATGACGCAGAGGTCCCTGTTGGAAGGGTTTAGGGTTTAGGGTGTAGGGCTTAGGGCTTAGGGTTTAGGGTTTAGATTCGGGTTTCGTGGGGACAGAAAAAGAACCCAGATCTTCCAAAACCCCCTAATTAAGGAACATACCCTAATTCATAATAATGATCCTTAGCATAAACTAGAGAATACTCCTTAATTCAGGGGTTTTGGAAGATCCGGGAAGATCCCTCCACTCAGCAAAAGAAGCTCTGGATGCCGCAGTCCAAACTCTGGAGCCCTGCAAGTTGGGATGCTTTTATACTGACAGCTCCTTGTAGCTCCTTCATAGGGATTCTAATTTAGGGGAGTACTCTTATCCCTATGAGGGACTGATAGGATAGGGGGGGAACATCCCAACCTGCAACCTAAGCTTCATAAACATGGCGAAGACCACCTGCCCCGGTCATGCGGAAAGCAGAGGGGCTCAGCACCTTCGTGCACCGCATGAAGCATCAGTCTGGCAGTCTGGCGTTCCATGGAGATCCCAGGCACATGGCATGTGTATCTTCCTGGGAGACGTCGCATTTCTTTCACAAGGGACTCCCCTGATTGCCCAGCTTGTCCCCACATTTTGTTGCTTCGGAGATGTTCGTGCAGAGGTATGGCAAGGCCTGCCTCCGCGTAGTAGAAGCCAGTGCCCTGGAGGTCAAAGTGATCCCAGTCCTGGTGCAACAAGGCGCAAGTCGAACAACGAAATCGCACTTCCCCGCCTTAGAAGCAACCGGTGTCCTCCTGCCGCCCCTTCGGCGTTGTGGGCGCCGTCTGCGCAACGTCGGCAAATCGTCCTGGAGTCCTCTGCACCAACTGCGCCTACCCTTGCCCTCGGCCCCTATCGACCTTATCGACTTCTCACTGAAGCACGAGTTTTCTAAACCCTAAACCCTAAACCCTAAACCCTAAACCCTAAACCCTAAGCCATCACGCGAGCAGGCCATGTGGTCATACATGCTCTCCTGGGTCGCGGTTCCGGCACCTCGGCGACCCACCGACTTTCATGCAACCACAATGGGAAATGACTTTCAAATTGGGATGTTCCCCTTTCTACTACGAGTAACACAGTCCTGAATAGGGATTTTCGTACCCCCGACTATGATCCCTATTAAGGACTGTTCGCATAAAAGGGGAACATGACAAATTAGATGACGTTCATCATGTGTTATGGTGTTACGGCTTTGCCTCCAAGGCCAGAAGAAAGCTTCTGAGGCCAAAAAGTCACACGAAAAAGTTCAAACTCAAGCCCGGCCATCCCGATGCCTCAGCCTAGCACATCGCCTCGACCCACATCAATGTCAAAGGTTCAGGGTTTAAAGTTTTTAGGGTTGCGCATGCCCGTAGCCAAGCACAGTCGACAAGTGTAAGACAGAAAGAGGCTTGGAGAGCAGTGAGCAGTTCAGGAACGAGAGGAAGCAATGTGACCCTGTAGAAACCCGGCCACGACCTTCCTGCAAGGGCTAGGCAAATTCTTCTCCTGGCAGCAGATGCAGTCCACAAAGCCCCTGGCCCAGTACTGGCCTTGATTCATAGTGATGGCTTCTTCCAGCCTGTCGGACACCGACGCTGGGGAAGATTTGTGCGTTGCGTATATATATATATATATGTACACTGTACACACACACACAGAAACACACACACAGACACACACACACACACACACACACACACACACACACACACACACACACACACACACACACACACACAGACACACACAGACACACACAGACAGACACACACACACACACACACACACACAGACACACCCACCCACCCACCTACCCACCCACCCACCCACCCCACCCCCTCGTCACCCCCAGGCCCCCCCCACCCCCCCACCCCCCAAAAACCCCCCTGCCCCCTACCCCCAAAACAGCAGCCAGGAGCCCACTTGCCCCCAAAACAACACATACATTGTGCTTTGCTGTGATATCTGTGCACTATTTATATATATATATACACACACTTATTTATTCTTCATTTATGCTAATTTGTTACGTGTTGAGGAGCGGGAATGTTCGGGGAGGCGACTATTTCAGAGCAATCCCAACTAGATTCAGCAAGAAGTTGAGACGGCGGCCCAGGAATCATCTCCTCCACCCCATCGGCCACCAGCCTCAAAAGCATCTGCTCCGAGGGGTTTAGGGTTTGGGGTTTGGGGTTTAGGGATAGAGCAACACCGTAAACTCCATCCAAAGACTCAAGCCCCAGCATGCAAAACATGTTAGGCTTTCTCGTTGCCACCCGCTTAGCTGACCAATCTCGGAGGCACTGCAGGGAACTAACCGGCAATCTTCAGGAGAAGCGCTTCTTGACATACTACTTGAAATCTTGGAAGAAGTATTACTCCCTCGAGATCTTACGCAGAAGAGGACTTGCACTCACCATCAGAACGCAAAAAACCAAACACTCACACACACACACAAAAACAAAAAAAAAAAAACTACACCATGTTAGGGCCTAGGGGAGGTTCTTGTTGCTCCCCCCTCCCCCGAGGCCCCGACACTTTTGGCCTCCATGGCTGTAGCCTGCGCGCATGGCCAGTGGCCTGGGATCTGCAGTGGCTTAGGGTTCAGGGTTCAGGGTTCAGTGGCTTAGGGTTTAGGGTTTAGGGTTTAGGGCTTAGGGTTTAGGGTTTAGGGTTTAGGGTTTAGGGTTTAGGGTTTAGGGCTTAGGGTTCAGTGGCTTAGGGTTTAGGGTTTAAAGTTTAGGGTTTAGGGTTGAGGGTTCATGAAATTGGGGGTTTGCGATCGCAGGCCCCATGGCAGGGGCCTTCTGCTACGATAATAGGGTGTACCTTATTGGGAACCTTGTTATAAGGGCCTACTGCTTTTTTGGAAACCCCCCACAATGCCGGGTTCAGGGGTTCCAAGATTCATCCCTCAACCAGGGTGGCAGTGATGTTCATTGCAAAATGCCGCATGTCACAACCACCACGGATCTTGGGCGGCATTCGTTGATCCACATACAGTTCGAGTATCCCTGAGACATTGCAAGGGAAGTCTCCATGCAGGACCTCCCACTAGCGATGCTTGACTTCTGCAGCAGGTTGTTTGGGGTTGAGGGATTTTCGGGGGCTTCTTGAACTTGAATGTTGGAGCTTGGTTATCGTGCTTTTCGGGTGTCTTGTTACTGGATATGCCGGGCATTCGGGAGTACTGGTTGACAAAGACAGGTGTGGGGAGTGGGGTGGCATCGAGGTCGAAGAGCGAAGTCCGCATTGCCCACGTCAAGATTCGAGATGTGTGAAGACCGCACGAATACCACTGCTTTCGCGCTCTCTTCGACCGCGCTCTTCTTCTTCTTGGGCTGGCATTAGATCAGTAGCCGTACCTCCCGCAACAATGCCTTGGAACTCCAAGAGTCAAGTCTGTATGCTACGAGCACCTCATGAGGATTTATCAACATGTTAACTGCGTGGGCACAGGCCGACGCAATTCAAGAACATGTTCCCAAGCGAAACCGGCGCATGTACACACCTTTTTGCTGGACTGCGGCCGGTCACACAACACGTACAGGTCCGAGGGCCGCCTCGCAGCCACTTAAGCATTCGTGGCCGCGCGCTTGGCGACACTGAAGGCAAAGAATCATGATGTAGGGGGCTTGGCAAGAACCACTTGCGAGCGATATCCCAGCACATCTGTCACCTCCGTGGACACGACTTCCCAGCCGAAGCCTTATCAACAGCCGAGGCATGCTTCTGAGAAAAAGCTCTTGCTCAGATCAGTAGAGTCCAAGATTGCGAACTGCTAATAACATCCACTGCGTTGAGTCCCGTGTTGAAAATCTTTGAAAAAACAACTTGGTTGTGTGCTATCCCACAGCGCACAAATTCGGGAATGTGAACCCGTAGTTACGCACATGCCTCGATACGTGTTGCTTACTTGGGACGTTCCCCCTCTTATCCTAACAGTCCTTAGTAGGACTTCCAATAGAGGGCATTCCCAAAGAGCCCAATATTGCTTAATTAAGGAATATACCTTAAATCATATTAAGGATCCTTAATATGATTTAAGGTATATTCTTTCATTAAGCAATATTGGGCTCTTTGTGTTATAATCCCTACCAAGGACTGTTTGAAAAAAGGGGGAACATCCTAGCTGCTTCAGCTGAGAAGCTCCGCAGCTTCGCGGCGAGGTCCTTCGGCCTACGGTGAGGAGGAGTTGAAAACTAGAAGCAGCTAGCAAATGGTCGAAGTCCTGCCAACCGCCCTGGCCTCCCTCAGTGACAGATCGGAGATATCGGAACCCTAAACCCTGAACCCTTTTGAAGCAGGCTTGCAGACGTCACCTTAAATCATATTAAGGATCCCTTTATGATTTAAGGAATGTTCCTTAATTCAGCAATATTGGGCTCTTTGGGGACAGGGAAAAGTAGAACGGATTGCGCTCTCTGCAACGCAGGCCTGCAGCCACCCACCACTGTGGGCACCTTCTGCCATATCGCCTCCCAGGCTTCCATGAGCCTCGGAGGTTCATGGGTCAAAGTCGGGTTACAAGCACCCTAAATAGGGTTAGAAGTGTAGTTACCATACTTACAACCCTACTTCTACCTACCCACGAACCCCCAAGTATGCAGTGCTCTGCCATCTGGCCTTTGCGTTGTACACAAGCTCTTACTTAGGCTTTGCGTTGTACACAAGCTCTTGCTTCGGCTGAACGAACTTGTATAATCAGGCCTTGCCCCAAAACCTTAAGACGTGAGTCCTTCGAGCCTTAGGGAAGACAACCGAAGCTCACTACGAGCGCAGTAGCAAATTTTCAGGGAGGGAGCACAAATCTTGCGCTGTAGCTTCGGCGGCTCAAGGACAGGGGTTGGTGTCGAGGTTCCCACATGACAGAAAGTCGCGTCCTATGTCTTTTGCAGAGCTTTGGCAGGTGTTGTTTCTTCGAGATTTGTGATGGCTTCTACGGCCGAACACATGCTTTTAATCGGGTCATGTAAACCTTGTGCAACAACGAAACTTCGCTGCGTCTACACCATCGCATAACTTCGCCGATGCAACTTGAAGCTTCTGAGTTTCCGCCTTTTTTTGGTGCGCGGCAACAAGAACCCAAGCTCCTAAGATGTGTCCCTCTGGTGACTCGGAGAAAGGGCTTCGCTGTGAAAACAATTGCGAAGGGGCCACTGGGCTGACACGTGCGACAGAGGACACATGATTGAAGAGGGGTCTTACCCAAGGTGGGGGTTTGGCGCACGGCTGAATGATTGCATGGCTAGCTTTCGCGCGCCTTCTTTTGGTTGTGTGAGGTATTCTGATGGACGATGCACAGTCTCCGGGTACCACCGTGTCGGACTGTTCAAGATCTGATGCTGCCAAGCCTCCCGCTCCCTGGAAAAACGCCTGCGCAGGCGGAATCTGGGGGTGAGGGCTGAAAGCAACGCCGTCTTCCTGTTTCAGAACTGCGCCGAACTGAATGCAAACAAAAGCATCCCACAACATCCCTAAACCCTAAACCCTAAACCCTAAACCAACAGGAAGTTTCAAGGACCATTCTTGTCCGAGGTGCTGGTGACAGCCAGCAGGCCACCAGAGGCCTGCGTTGAGGGTTTAGGGTTTAGGGTTTAGGGTGCAGGGTTTAGGGTTTAGGGTTTAGGGTTTAGGGCTTAGGGTTTAGGGTTTAGGGCAAACAACGCGCTGGAATCCGGGACCACGGACCCCCTTCCTACCAAAGCGGAGAATGTGCGGAAACAAAGGTCCTTGAGCAGCTCGGAGCACTGTGCCAAAACTCTCCCCAGATCCTGTCGGATTGCTGGATGGGTTTAGGGTTAATTAGGGTGAGTTCTTCAGCTCCAGGGTGTGTACTCCACGTTGGGGGCGTGTGGGAGTTAAGGGGCTCTGCCTTGTTTCTCGGCTCAGAGCTATCTCAATCTCAGGCCCGCAGCAGCACCTCTTTGTCAGAAGCGGCGGAAAGGCAGACCGGTCGCTTGTGCCCGCTTTAGGCTGGTCAGTTGTGCCCGCCTTACGCGGGTCACTTGTGCCCGCGTACGTGCCTCAAATCACAGCAGGGCCGCACTTTGGGCCACCTCCCGCCAAAACGCAGACCTGTCACTTGTGCCCACCTTTCGGTCTTAAAATATGGCAGGGTCACAGGATGAGGTGTTTGTCGGTTGAAAAGTCGCGTCCCTGCCACATCCGGCAGGCTCTCTATTGGTCAACAACAGTCGTTTTTTTGCCCCTCGAAACCCGAACCCTGAACCCAGAAGGAACTGACCCGATGCCTTGTGTGGAAAGCTTCCCTCGGGTCAGATGCCTGTAAACACCCAGCCCCCCCCTTCCCCCTTCCCCCTCCACCCCCTCCCAAGCACTCCGGCTGACCGTGCAGGGCGCATCGGGCAACAACAGTCGTTTTTTTACCCCTCCAAACCCGAACCCTGGACCCAGAAACAACTGACCTGAGGCCTTGCGTGGAAGGCTCCCCTTGGGTCAGATGTCTGTAGACGCCCAGCCCGCCCAAGCCCCCCCTCGCCCCCTTCCCCCTCCACCCCCTCCCAAGCACTGCGGCTGACCGTGCAGGGCTCCCCCTGCGGCTGACCGTGCAGGGCGCGTTGGTCAACAACAGTCGTTTTTGCCCCTCGAACCCCCCCCCCATCCCCCCTCCCCTCACCCGTTTCCAGGGCGGGTGACTGGGTGTGGTGTGTGGCGTCAAACAAGCTTATTCTTATCCCCCCCCCCTTCCCCCCGTTGCAGGGCGGGTGACTGGATGCGGTTGTGTTGAGCGCGTCAAACAAGCTTATTCTTGTCCCCCCCCTCCACCCCCCTCCCCCCTCCCTCACCCGTTAGGACTGGATGTGGTTGACTGGATGTGGTTGTGTTGCCCCCCCTCCCCCCTCCCCTCACCCGTTTCCAGGGCGGGTGACTGGGTGTGGTGTGTGGCGTCAAACAAGCTTATTCTTATCCCCCCCCCTTCCCCCCCCCCCCTCCCCCCGTTGCAGGGCGGGTGACTGGATGCGGTTGTGTTGAGCGCGTCAAACAAGCTTTTTCTTGTCCCCCCCCTCCACCCCCCTCCCCCCTCCCTCACCCGTTAGGACTGGATGTGGTTGACTGGATGTGGTCCCTCCCCTCACCCGTTTCCAGGGCGGGTGACTGGGTGTGGTGTGTGGCATGAAACAAGGTTATTCTTATCCCCCCCCCCCCCCCCCCTCCCCACCCCCCCCCCCCGCCCTTGCAGGGCGGGTGACTGGATGCGGTTGTGTTGAGCGCGTCAAACAAGCTTATTCTTGTCCCCCCCCCCTCCCCTCCCCCCCGCCCGTTGCAGGGCGGGTGACTGGATGTTATTCTTGTCCCCCCCCTCCCCTCCCCCCCCCTCCTCCTCACCCGTTGGGACTGGATGTGGTTGACTGGATGTGGTTGTGTTGACCGCCTCAAACAAGCTTATTCTTATCCCCCCCCCCTCCCCACCCCCCCACCCCCCCAGAAACGTGGGCACAAGTGACGGGGTACGTGGGCACAAGTGACGGGGTACGTGGGCACAAGTGACGGGGTACGTGGGCGCAAGTGACCCGAAACCGCGTGGGCACAAGTGACCGCGATCGCGTGGGCACAAGTGACGGGGCTGCCGAATTGCCCGCAAGGCAGCAATGCAACTTGAACAACCAGGTGTGACAAGCAAGTTCAAAAAAACGATGAGGATACGGCGATCTTCGAGCGAATGCTCCTAGCACTGGCAGCTGACGCAGGGTCCTTCTCATCGAAAATGTCCTCGGTGCAAGGAGGTGTCCGGCCGCACTGGCCAGACTGAGCCGTAAACAATCTGTATCCCAGGAACTCCCCGGATGGGCCATTATACTACATCATACACTCTAACCCCTGAGAAAGGCCCTTTATAACCCTACAAGATTTCAGCTGAGCAGCAAAGATGTACGATGCGACTATGCCTCGGCAGAGCTTAAGTTTGCTACTATGCGATGGCTTTCTGCTGCCCCGTGCACATGGCACAAACGTCCGCAGAGGGCCCCACACGGCGTAATATACCTTAAAAAAAAAAATATATATATATATATATATATGGATCCTTAATATGACTTAAGGCTTAAGGTATCTTCCTTAATTTCGGGGTCTTGGGCTCTTTGGGTCTGCAGCAGCGGCGCGATCCGGCAGGCCGCCCAGCATCGTGTCGCAGGCCTCCGTGTTGGACTTCTGGCGACGCTGTGACAGCTCAACAACTCCAGTGAACGCCGAAATCCACAGTAAACCCGCAAGAATTCGCAAGAACATGGTTGAAAAAATCTCCCCCGACCTCCTTCAGCGTTCCCGGCCGCCGGGCATCGGCTTGGACGACGCTGGCATTCGGAACCGGGCCCAGGGTCCGCGCCTCGGCGAGTAAGGAGGAATAAAGGTGATGAACACCAGGATGGGCTCTTAGGCCTTATAATCCCCATAGTCTGCCCTATAAAGGGCCTTTTCAAGGGGTTAGAGGGTATAATTGCCCATCCTGGCAGGTTGCGGAGAGATTGTGGACCTCTGGAGACTGTATGGACACAGAGCCTCAGAGCATCTCACAAAGCCTTTTGCAGCTAGCCAGGGGACAGCTTCCTCTGCCATCGTGCTCGAGGAATCTAGCCCCAAGTAACGCGCGACCTGGGGCTCGAAGAGAATGTTCGTCGAGGACTTCTCTAAGTATCCGCTGTTATAGAACTTTGTCATTCTGTTTCTGGTATGAGTATGGAGCAGGGCTTCTTTCACGTCCATGTCGCCTCTGCCGTCCAAACTTGTCCTGCACACCTTAGAATCCTTAGAAGCCTTCCGTGACTTTTCTCTCCTATGCCTCAAACCAAAGCACAGCCTTCAAAGCAAGATTGGGGGGGGGGGCTGATCTAGATGATCAGCCCATGGCCTGTCAAGTGCCACGTCCCCTATATGGTCTCAGATCTTCCGAAACCCCTTAATTAAGGAATATACCCTAATTTATACGAAGGTTCATTAATATGAATTAGGGTATATTCCTAAGCCCCAAACCCTAAACTCTAAACCCTAAACTCTAAACCCTAAACCTCAGCAGACCACAGTCCGTTTCACACCCAGCGGCGCCCGAGGGGCGGCTGGTGCAAATGCCCTGCGCCCAGCGACCGGTGCCACATCCCAGCTCCAAGACGCGGGCCTGGCCGCGTTCAGCAAAATAATGGGTTTAGGGTTTAGGGTTTAGGGTTTAGGGTTTAGGTTTAAAGGCTTTGCCACACCACGTGCAATTTTTCTTTCTTGGTGTCGGTCTCATGCTTTCGGTTCGAGGAACTTCGAGGACATGGATTGTTTTGTGCACTCTGAAGAATTCTCTCACGTGCGGGTCATCCAACCCTAAACCCTAAACCCTATATATCCTAAACAACTCTGCACACTTCCTGCCCGAACAGAGGGCTTGCCTCGCCCTTGTCGAGGCCAGCGAGCCGCGCAACGGCCTCCCGAGCCTTGGAGCGCTTTAGAAGGTTTAGGGTTTAGGGTTTACGGTTCGGGGTTTAGGGTCACACTTCGACACAGTAGGCCCCCTGGTTTTTAGCAGGGGACGAGGGAATGAAGGCCCTATTAATTATCCCATTCAAGGGCATATGTAGGCCCCCCATTCCCTCATTCCCTCCTAAGAACCAGCCAGAAAACAGCTCTCTCCGACTTCCGGATTCCGAAAGCGGAGACTACAGATTGAAAGTATGCCTTCAAGGCCGCAGCCGGGAGCTTTGAATCCTGGGCTAGGGGGCCCCAAGACCATGAAGTCCTTGGGGGAGGGGGGAGGGGGTTAGGGTTTAGGATTTAGGGGTTGCTGATGAGAAGCCCAGACTAGGTAGACAGATGACTTCGTGTCAGCCGTGACAGAACTTACTTGTCTTCACTGGGTTACGAAGCCAAGCAACACATGCGCTTGCCAAGCAGTGATTCCACAACAAATGCAGCTTGGCCACACCATCTTCGAAGGGGGCGACAAGGTCGATGAGCCGACCTGTTTCGCATGCGTTTAGGGTTTAGGGTTTTGGGCTTAGGGCCTTCTGTTGCTGAGCAAAAGCAACTGACTGCAGACCCATCTTCACACGACCTCTGAACCCTTCAGAACAAAACAATTGGAATATCCATGTCTGGCTTTCCAAAACTCCTTAATTAAGGAACATACTCTCATTCATAACAATGAACCTTCGTTTAAATTAGGGTATATTCCTTAATTAAGGGGTTTTGGAAGATCTGGGTCGCTTCGACTGAGGCAAAAGCCGATTCGGTTGTAGAAGAGATTGGAATCAAACTCCACGTCTCCATCCACCAGAACCTCAGCATGTCATTTTTAGGCGCGTTCAGGGGGTTTAGGGCTCAGGGTTTAGAGAGGTTCGTCTAAACCTCCTCTGCTAAGTGCTACCGGAACGAACCTTTAAGTGCAATGATTCAAGCTGCATGACTCTCAGACTAAACCCAAAACCCTAAACCCTAAACCCTAAACCCGGTACTCCGAGCAACCTGGAACCCTGAAGTCCAGTACCCGCCGGGGCTCAGCAAGCTTCCGCAGGGTGGAGGCGTGAGAGGCAGTCTGTGAGCCCCTCCTGAAGCATAATAGGGTTTAGGTTTTAGGGTTTTAGGGTTTAGGGTTTTAGGTGGCAGAGAATGATGCTGCAGAATGCGGACTGCCTTGTGGCATGAAAGCAAGTATAGCCCTGGGCGATTGAAATTGGACGCTGAAGCCCTCAGCAACACCCGCAACTGGCTGGCAATGCAACATAATTAAGGTCCTCTTGCTGGACGCATTAGATGACCCTAAACCCTTCTGCATCCCTAAACCCTAAACCCAAAAACCCTAAACCTCAAACCCTAAGCCCCCCAAGGTTCTTCTTCACAACGTCTTGCTTGAAGCCACGACTCATCCTTGAGTGACCCAACTAGTATGAAAGGCAGTAGTGCCCTGTCAGCCGACTCCATCTAGCGTAGATGCTGGGGGCAACGGGGCACGAACCACCCTGAATCTTGATCGGTGACAAGTCACCCTCCCAGGGCGTTTAGCAGCGTCTGCAGTGGAGGTGATGGTGCGTAACGAATCTCTGACTCCACCTGCAACCCAGAAGCATGCCGCAATTCTTGCCTCTGGGCTTTCTGTGGAATGATGACAATTGTGTACACACCCTTGTTCTGCTATTTCGTTCATAAGTTCAATGACGCAATAGTTGTAGAATACTTGCATTACTCGAATGGTTCTGCAGCACCTGAACACATCTAACTCTTGAACCTACAACTTTGACTCCCTCCCTTCAAGTCCCTGAACGTGCAATAGCCAAGAGTTGTGCTCAGAAGGCTTCTGCTCTAGGCCTTTGTAAAAGTCCCTGAGGGAACATCAGGGCCATTTGAGGAGTAGATTCAGGGGGACCTTTAGGGGTACAACCCTAAACCCTAAACCCTAAACCCTAAACCTATAGGGGTACTAGATGTACGAGTCTTCATCCCTTGAACTCTGCATCCGAATCGCCATGGATCCGCTGCTGTCAGTGGCGCCCGTAACGCGGATGGTGTGCAAGAAAGCGTTGTCCTCTTCCTCCTGCAATCTGGCTGGTTCTTCTTAGTAAGGAGTGAGGGCATTAGGGGCCCATGTATAACCTTTTAAGGAATTATGTGAGGTAGCTCTTAAGAACCAGGGGTACCTTATTGGGGTCCTTTTTACAAGGGAATCCTACTATTTGGCGGTCCCCTATTTTCGTAAACCCCCAATCTTCGGAAACTTGCCAGATGATATGAGGGAGCTGGGCCATGAAATCAATCTTTTGGTGGTCCGAGCTCAAGGGCGTAAACCAGAAAAAGTTCCAACAAATCCTTGACGGTAACGGCAAATGGGCAACGAACTCTGAATAAGAAACCTGTGTGATACTTGGCATGATTGCAAGGTGCAAGCGGCAGAGATGCAGAAATAAAACCTATGTAGCCCTGACACATGACATTGTGTGTTTCACACCATGCTCAGCACACTCTGCAGGTTATAACAGGTCAACATGCGACGTGATTCCCAAAACTCAACTCCAGCACAGCCTCAAACCCTGAGCCTGAAACCCTTTCTTGAGTCCAGGACTCTCACAGATTGCTGGCGGAGCGGGCGAATGAATGGAAATACTCGCGACCTAAACCCTCTCTCTAACATCCGCCAAGGCACCACACTGCCCAACATCTCGAGGTGGCCAGCAGCCTCAACGAACTCGGCTTTCAGGACCTGTGTGGGAGACATGGTCCGTGGAATCGCTCAGCCCTCGGAAAAGTAGGGTTTAGGGTTTTGGTGGGGAATTTGTTTCCTCAACGTAAGGGTTGGGCATATGTGACAGAGGTGCAAACAGGAACCCTACTTTTGAGAGCTGCCCATGGCTGAGAGACCACAACTCAGTCTCTTCGACTCTGAAGTTTATTTCAAATTGATGCACGTCGACCTCCATGTACAAGGCATGAAAATTCGTACCTACTAGGCAGTCGGAAACTGCACAGGGCCGAAGACGAAAACCAGGGCTTAAATTCTTAGCGAACCCTCCGTTTCCCCCCTCATACCTCCCCCTCCCACACACAGACAAGGAAACACTGGAAAACATTTACGTCTCAACGACCGTTGGGCGTGTTGCAATACTAAATCGCGGCAGCCACCCCAGCAGAAGAACATCAGTGCAAACTCCCATGCTCACCCTGATTTGGCCGGACACGTATGTTGGAGTCGCCGGCCCTTTTGGTGAAACAAGGTCTCTCTGAACTGCGTGGGGCCCTGAACCCCACAAGACCTGAACTCTTTCAACTGCCTTAAGCTGCGGAGGTGGAGATCCCCAAGCTCTCCGATACCCTTGTGTAGGCACCCTAAACCCTCGACGCTAAACCCTTTTGCAGCAGGTGTCCTCACCACTGGCAAACTGCAAACCTTAAGACCTTAAACCTCTGTGACTCTTGCGCCCCTAAACCCTAAACCCTAAACCCTAAACCCTTTTGCTGCAAACTGCAAACCCTATAAGCCTTCAACCTCCGTGACTCTTGTGCCTTCCAGCGGAAGCGGCGCAGCTCCTGGCCGAAGGCCCCCACGATGCCGGAGATATCGGAGCCGGCCTCCAACTGGCCTGCTGTTTGGGGTTCAGGGTTTGTTCACACTAAACCCTGAACCCTAAACCCTAAACCCTAAACCCGAAACCCTAAACCCTGAACCCTAAACCCTAACCCCTGGGGTTTGGGGTTTTTCGGGCTTAAGGACCTCTGGGGTTTCGGGTTGAGGGGTGTAAGGGTTTAGGGACCTCTGAGGTTTGCTAGTGCTACACGGTGGAGGTCTATCCGATACCCAGCAAAAAATTGGGTGAGTCCCAATTGGGAAGGTGATCGTTCTTCTGGGTGTGTAGGTCGAATCAGGTTCTGATGCTCACGCCTTGCAACTACGGGCCAAGCCCCAAACTCCCGAGCCCTTGCGCTCTGAAGACCCCTACACACACCCGTTCTGCAACCCTAAACCCTAAACCCTAAACCCTAAACCCTAAACCCTAAACCCTAAACCCTAGACCAGCTAGGCAGCAAGCCGAGCCTGAGACTTCCTGTAGCTGCAGAGGCCAAGGGATGCCATAGCATTCCTCGGTTCTCGATCCTTTTTGTGGGCTGGCTTTGCTAGGGGTTAGGGTTTAGGGTTTAGGGTTTAGGGTTTAGGGTTTAGGGTTTAGGGTTTAGGGTTTAGGGTTTAGGGTAGGGACTGGCAGATATGCCAGGGACCTTCTGCCCAACTTCTCCCGTGTCCCAGCAAGTTCGCTTGTCATTTGGGCTCGCTCGTTCTGAGTGACTCCGTGGCTCTGTCAGCTGCAATGCCGTCCACGATTGCTGCAAGCCTCCTGCAACGCAAAGTAGCGCTGCACAGCATCGGGGGCTGGTCTGGTATATACAACAGCTCCAGTTGAGTTGGCACAGTCTTGTCATTCATTCTCCCAATCACCTAAACCCTAAACCCTAAACCCATTCATGTCCTTCTGCGCCAGAGAGGGCGGCCCAAAGGCGCGCTGGAGCGGCTTCGTACTCTCCAGTCACCCGGGAGGTGACCTTGCAAAAGGCCAACTCTGTCTAAAGCCCTTCTGGGCTTCCTCTCCGAACGCTCAGTGACAGCTCCTCTACATCCTAGACTGCGTTTTGCTTTAATCTTTGCAAAGCCATGGGGTGGTGCTCAGAATGGCAATCTTGCCAGCAGCTGCTCCCATAAGGTCGACAGTGCTCGCCGTGCTCGCTGTAATCTCGCCAGCATTCAAGCTATGGCGGCAAGAAGTTCTTGCGGCAAGCGCAGCAAATCGCAGTCTGCAGCTACAGCTAACGGCTCGCACAACTACGCCCAACTCAAATCTTAGCTGCCGAATGCGCTCGAGCTATCGCTTGGGATGTTCTCCCCTTATACTAACAGTCCTTATAATGTAATCCTGCTAAGGACTGTAAGCATAGTAAGGGGGAACATCCCAAGCTATCGCCAGCCACCAATGCTCGGGCCACACTGGGCAAAGAAACTCTGAGGACAGACCGAGCCGCGGCGAGTCGTCGCTCGAACGCGTTGCCAATGAGATATGGCAGCCTGCGCAGGTGAAAGTGTCTGCATTCGAAGGTTGCTGCAAGATGAGTACCAACCTTCCTCTATGACATAGGGTCTAGGGTCTAGGGTCTAGGGTCTAGGGTCTAGGGTTTAGGGTTTAGGGTTCCCACAAACAAGTGACAAGGCTGCAAAGCTGCTTCGGGCTGCAAGGCATAGAAAAACGAATCAACAAGCTTCAGCTGATTAGCAAGAACCACCAATCAAGAGAATGGTGGGCCATGACCATTAGCCAAAAACAGGAGCATGATCGCCATCATCAAGCGACTACTGTACGTGAACCGGACCGTCACGACGAGACCAAATTATCAAACTATTTCAGGCTTGAGAAACGTGCTTAGACTTCAGCTAATTTGGACTGCGGTGTGTGTCCAGGCGTCAGGCCCAAACGATGACTTGAAGAATTATAGGGTGTCGGATCTAGGGGATGTGGCTACTATCAACCCTCAACCCTAAAGTCCAGGATAGGAGCAGGATAGGATAGGTAGCCCTAAACCCTAAACCCTAAACCCTAAACCCTAAACCCTAAACCCTAAGTCCAGGATAGGAGAGGGAGACCCGAGTCGATGCCAAGCCACTCATCCAGCGCCCGGGAGCCTCGCGGCGGCGCATCGGGATCTGCCTTCTGGGGCAAATCCTGGGACACTCTCTAGGGTAGGGTTTAGGGTTTAGGGTTTAGGGTTTAGGGTTTAGGGTTTAGGGTTTAGGGTTTAGGGTTTAGGGTTTAGGGTTTAGGGTTTAGGGTTTAGGGTTTAGGGTTTAGGGTTTAGGGTTTAGGGTTTAGGGTCTGGGGTAGGGTTTTGGGTGTAGGGTTTAGGGTTTCTGCAAGCACTCTCTGCAGCAGGCTTCACACTAGTGCAACCAGACAAGCAAGCCCCACCCCTGCATCAAAGGGCAACCTCTGGCCAGGGTTTAAGGTTTAGGGTTTATGGTTTTGTAAATCTTGGGCATCAAGCAGGTCACGGGGTTAGACAGGATTGCTGGCATGCCCCGGCAAGCGGTTCACTGGCCACCATTTGCTGAAGCACGCTGTTGTTTGCAAAAACCTCCCGCCCAGAACTCAATTTCGGAGAATCCCTAAACCCTTTTGCTGTTGGTCCGAACCCCTAAACCCTAAACCCCGTTGAGCCCTAAACCCTAAACCCTAAACCCTAAACCCCAAACCCTAAACCCTACGACTGTAGAAGAGAAGTGCCTCGAAGTGCCTGCACCAGGCCAAGAGTCCCTGGGGTCGCTCGCGCCAGTGCCTCCGAAGCATGCCTGTGCTGAGTTTAGGGTTTGGGGTTTGGGGTTTAGGGTTTAGGGTTTAGGGTTTAGGAGACATTAGGCCCGAGAAGTAATCGTCCTAATATCGGTTCAGAACAGATGTAGTTAACTATTTTGGAACGGTAAACTCTCGTCTACAGCGGTCCAGCTCGCCAACTGCCTGGCGTTGCTGGCCATGGCTGTCGGCAAGCCCGGGTTCATTCCCATGTGCGCTTTGTCGCATTTCATAAAGCACCCCAGACCTTCCAAAGTTTTGGAAGATCTGGGCATGTGAGTTTGGGTTTTTTCACTCCTGCCCAGCGTTAGGGTTCTTCGGGTACAGAACTACTGTGTGAAATTGGATGGCAAGGGCAGAAGCCTTCCAAGAGTTCGAGGAACTGCCAACCTGTTGGCATGGTGGTTCTGAGAACTATGGCGTCCGCGCTTGAGGTCCTCTGGATCCATGGTACACATTTTACTCCTGCACTTCCCTTGGAACCATATTTGAAAGAATATTGCTACCTTGGGATATATATATATAAAGAAAAAGAATAATTCCTGAGGGAACTATAGACTCTTTAATGTGCCTAGTAGAGGTGGTCCAGGTCCTCATGCCCACATCCCTAAGTTTTGCCGGTCTGCCGCGTCTGCGACAGAGTCGAGAAGGACTGCTCTTCGGACAGTGCTTCCTTGGAGCCATGGGCTTAGGGTTTAGGGTTTAGGGTAAAAGATACCACAATATGGGAGGCTTCCGAAATTAGGGGGTTACCTTATTGAGGTCCTTTTCTACAAGGGCATCCTACTATTTGGGGTCTACTTTAGGGGCCCCCTATTTTCCTAATGGCATCCTACGGAGTACGGAGTCAATGATTGGGTTTGGTGCTCCTACGGTTCACAGCCACGATTTGAGAGGTCTTTTAAGCATGGAGCACTCTTTCGGCCGATCTGCTCACTATTGAAGCAATTTAGCGAGGCCGTTTTGGGAAGAGACTCTGAACTGCATGAACAGGCAATTGCATGCAATTGTGCTGCACTGGCTAAGTCTTCGACTCGAATACAGCAATTGAGTGTGCCGCCTTGCCAAATCACTTACGCAATGCTCTTTCCCAAATTCTCCCGACCGGCGCCCCTTGAACCCACAAACGGCAAACTCCAGCTGAACCCCATCGACATGTACTACTTTTCGTGTCAGTCACATCCGTTTCGCACGCGATGTCTTGCGCATTGTTGTCGGACTTCGACTTCTATAGTCGAAATATATTGCAAGTTACAAGCCAGGGGCTTCATACGAATCTGCCTTAGTTCTCCGCCAACATGTTGACGGAACTCCGAAACTGATCCAGGCTGCCAGCCCGCCGTCGCGGCGATGCAGCTGCAGCGCCCAGCACTACGGCAACGGCACAGCTCCTCGGAAGTTCTAACTGTTGGGTTTTCAGATTGAGCACTAACCCGATGGGCCATGCGTGAACCAAACTTCATCTTAGAGGTCACAGTTGGAATTTTCACACAGAGAGAGACATATATATATATATACATATATATGTCTCTCTCTTATTTATTTATTCATCGATTTTTATATATGATTGTATTAGTTATATACGAGTAATTATATTAATATTTCTCATAATACTGTATGTTCTTATTACACCATTATGTTATCCTATTCGTGCTCTTATGCTCAGATAGATTGGTCTATATAGAAACGTATATATGTGTGTAGATATATACTTATTATTTGTATTTAAATTTGTATATGCATATACCGGCATATATTATCTTACATTTTGCAATAGTATTCTATTCTGTCATGGAAAATCCCATGCCTCTCCTGACGGCGGCTCCAGGCCCTGGCCGCTCCGGTGGTGGCGGTGCACGGCGGACGGGTGCACGGCGGACCGGTGCCAGAGCACGCAAGACTACGTGGGGAGGAGCCGCCAGAGCCATGGGGTTTAGGGTTTAGGGTGTGCGACCCTAGGGTTTAGGGTTTCGACTGGGTTTAGGTTTAGGGATGAGGGTCTCAGATCGACTCAGATCGCCCTCCTTAAGGACTTCTAAAACATCACTTCTACGCTTCCAGAAGGAATGGATGAGGCCGTTTGTGATGTGAGGGTTGAGGCTACCTGTTTTGAAGAAGTGTGCGCATCGTTACAGGCTTGCGCGTCTCTGTCAGGCTTCTCGTGCATCCAGGTTTGTAGATGTGGGTGATGAAGGGATTCCGGCTCGTGCTGGATCAAGCAACGCTGGTTGCATTTGCAGGCATGTGTTCGTTGTTATTTATTTATTTTTCTGTTTTTTTTTTGGGGGGGGGGGGTGGAATTGCTAACCCAATTATATTCGGGCTTTTGCCTTGGCTCAAATCGGCTGGAGCAGAGCAACTGCAACTCGCGCAGGTGTTCCTGGACATCTCCATTTCCCAACTCTGGGGGTGAAGCGGAAGCCGACGCCGGGCGAGGCCTGGGCGGAGAGGGGAGGAGAGGGGAAGGATTTAGGGTTTAGGTTTTGTTTTTTGGGTTTAGGGTTTAGGGCTTAGGGTTGAGGGTTTTAAGTTTTGCCAGCCAAATCTAGCCAAGGCAGGTTTTGATCCCAACATGGTAAACAACACCTCCACTCAGAATGCTGGAGTCAAAAAATTTAGCCTGAGCCTGACTGCGTCACAGGTCGATTTCCTACACCAAGCTCAAACAATCGCAGCCGCTCCATGGAGTGTAACGCATGTAAAGAAGACGACCGCGAACGTTACACACCAGATTGTGGCTTGCATGGGTACAGTACAGGGTATCGCAAAAAAATCTTCAGCAACCTAGAGCCACACCTAACTATCTTCTGACGCGCCCACAAGCTGCCAAGTCTTCTCTCAGCTTGGAAAAAGGCAAAATGCCGGTACTAAGATCTCAGTGCAAGCCTAGGTTACCTATTCGTGCTCAGTCGGAGGGCTCAGGAATTGACTTTACAACAGCATCATCTCTACTGCCCATGGCCCAAAGGGACGGTGTGTAGGTCCGTGAGCAGGTGTGGCCTGGGCACACGCCATCCCGAAGTCGTGAGTGAATACCCTAGACCCCAGACCCTAGACCCTAGACCCTAAACCCTAAACCCTAACCCCTTGACCCTGACAATGTGCCAGCGAGAAGCAATGGAGGAATAGGGATGCCCTTTGTCCTGGTACAGGCATGAGGTTGATCGGCTTCTTTGAAATACCAGTTCTTTTACATTCGGCGTAGAGCCAATCGGTCTCTGGGATAAAAACAGGGGGCGGGGAGGAGTATGAGGGCGGGGGTCTCAAGGGCATTTGAACCTGTTGGTCAAGCGAATCTCAAGCACACGTTCAAGTAGTTACAACGGAAGAACAGCCAACGGCCTCATACCTCTTGTTCCTTGCTTTTAACCTGACGCTGATACTGCAGAACATCCTTAGCCGCTCCCCCCCAGGTCTGAGATGGGGCTCTTCACGCAGAAGAGTATTCAGGCTCAAGATAGGTCAATTCTTGTCCCGAGCCGTTAAGTGCGCCTGCTATCCCTGAACCCCAGGGCAGACCTGTGCTCCATTTGCGAAGGCACCGGCCTCTGAGGGAAACCAAGACGGAAGGCTTCCGATGGCTAGGCTAGGCTCTTACCGTCACAGCCGGTAACCTGAGCCCGGAGCTCCCGAATCTGCATCTGCCCAAGACATTACTTTAATTCGAATCAACAGAGAAACCCTTTTTTCTTCCATCTGGGCTGGGTGGGGAACCCTAAACCCTAAACCCTAAACCCTAAACCTTAAACCCTAAACCCTAAACCCTATGTAATCCAAGCAATGGTGCCTAGAGCATCGAGGGTCCCTATGTTGAGGCCGGCCCAACAGCTCATGTTGCAAGCGACTATCTTCGTAGCCCCGCAACCGTTTCTAAATAAGGGTACCCTTTTTGGGGTGGATACCTTATCAGGGTTTAGGGTTCAGGGCCTTTTTAGGGCTGGTTCGGGTTGGCTACTTTTTTAGGGAACCCTTGCATCCCAAAACGGGCAACGAAGGTCCCCCTGCGCATACCGAGCTATTGCCCCAAACAGCTGAGTTCACTGCGCGACGGGTCCACCAACTGTTGGCAGCTCTGGGCCTCCATGGGCACGGGGGCATTGCATAGTGCAGGGTGTCGGACAGAACGGGGTTTAGGGTTTAGGGTTTAGGGGTTTAGGGGTTTAGGGGTTTAGGGGTTTAGGGGTTTAGGGGTTTAGGGGTTTAGGGTTTAGGAAAAACGGGTTAAGGGACACGACAGATTGAGCTGTCGGCTTGGTGTTCACGCCTGAAGTGCCACCGAGTGGAGACACACTTCGTGTCCAAGGTACACAGCCCAAGTGCAGCAAGCAGCATCAAACACAAGAGGGCCGTGGCAGTGGTGCACTCAAGCAGAAAGGTAGACACAGCAGATCTGAAAAAAAAAACAAAAAACAAACAATATTCCTAGGCAAAGAGCTCCAGCTCTAACAGTGCAACTGAATTCTTTTCTGGCCTGGTTGCGGGGGTTCCTTTGACCTGAACGCAGTCGAGTGAGAATCACTGCAAGACCAAGGACCACCTGTGATTTTCTGTGATGCTCATGTACATTAGGCCTCTTCCCGCCCCTCTGCCTGTCAGGAGCAACACAACTCTTGGATACAATCTGGACAGAGTGCCTGCAGCGTGGCAACGCTGTCCCCATCAGTTCACTCCTATGTCCTTCAGCCTCCAAGGGCCAGGCTGGCTCTTGGAGGGCAACCTGGTATCGCCTCGGACTCGGAGGCATTCTGTCTGCCGGGTGGAGGCTTTGACGTTGAAACCATCAACTTTTCGAGTTGTAGAGAGCAAGTGCTGAAATGACTGGCCAGCACCGGCCTTCATGGTAAGATCCTTGGTCGTCTGGGACCTGCGACAGGGGATACCGCAATGGCTTGCGACAATGATGGGCTGAGAGTTGCATCTATAGTAGGACCTAGGAGGTTGATCGTCTTGTGGAGATCGTAACAAAGGAGCATCACTTTATGGTGTGTACAGGTGCGCAAGTCTTCGACGATGCATTAGGATCAGGAGTGAGCTTCAAGGCCATTGCAGAAGCAGGCGCTACGCTGCCGCTACACCCCGTTTGCATCCCGGCATAAATCGCGAAGAAATCCGCCACCTACGATCGGCATTTGGCAGGCAAAGCTTGAGCTGAGGCCAATGCCCCGAGGGCATTTCGCATGGCATCGGCCTGGGTCGCAGTGCACAGAGCTACGAGGAGGGGCCCCCCTAGTTATAAGTAGGGTTATGAGGACCCTACATTGAATTATAAGGATCCTAACTTAGGTTAGAAGTCCCAGTATAGTAAGGGGGCCCCTATTTGTCCACCCCCTCGCCAAGTGCATCCGTGGAAGAAGTGCTCAGGCCTCTACATCTGAGATATCAATTGCGGCCCGTGGACTTTCTGTATGTTTTAGGGCTTAGGGTTTAGGGTTTAGGGTTTGGGGTTTAGGGTTTAGGGTTTAGGATTCTAGGGTTTAGGCAAACAACGCTGAGGACCAAAGCTGAAAGCAGCCCTCAAACCCAACTAATAATCAAACCCAACTAATAAAAAAATCTAAGTCTCGCCTGAAGTCTTCTGGGATTTGGGGTTCAGGGTTCTTTTTGCCACCCGGCTGGCCATGCTCCACGGGGCAACTGAAGAGGGATTGCTGGTTCAGGGTTCAGGGCCTAGGGTTTAAGGTGTTTAGGGTTCATCAAAACGAACATACTTTCTGAATGCACAGGATCGAAGGGGTGGGTGGGTAGATACTCGATACCTGAGTATCGGGGTTCACTAGGGAATGCTTGCACTTGAGATGCTCAACCCTGAAACCTGCACCCTCTACCCCAAATCCTAGCAACCCAAGACAGCCTCAAGCCCGAGACCCTCCTTCGCATCTCCTGTCTGAAGAAGGTTTGCGAGTGTTAGGTGGTGCCGGGTTCGATGCGACAATGTGCGGGCAAGGCCTTGCATATGCACGGCCTGGCACTTCCTGCTACAAGGCAGGTCCAAATTTCAGGGAGCTCTGAGCAGGCGGCCCAGTCTTTGGTGTGTGTCTTTCCAGCTTGGATTCCTGGCGCACGCATCTGAGCCATGCCTACTACTACAAGGGGTGGCCTAATCCCTAAGCCCAAACCCCAAACAACCTTAGTTACAACTCAAGTGCTGAAGGATCCAGGATACCTCGAAGTAAGAAGTGACTGTAGTATCGCCTCCGGAAATCTACCCCAACATATCCCCGGCCATCTCCAGCTTGCGAAACCCGCTGTCGAGCTTCTTGCGCCTACCCGCGGCTTCGCCACCGCCTCGAGAAGCGGCCTCACAGAAAAATGTATGGCCGGATCTGGCCCTAAACCCTAAACCCCAAACCCTAAACCCTAAACCCTAAACCGACGGGCAATTGTGGTCTCCAAATTTGCGCGGATCTGCATGCCCTCCCGAGAGTAAGTATGCGTGGCGGGCATTAGCGTTCTACGATGCCGCTGCGAAACATGAAACGCTGCTGCGCATTTTGTACTTTGAGGGTTAGCCCAAAAAGTCACAGGAGGGGTTACAGTAGCTGGAAGACCGAGTAAGACATGTTGAAGAAAATGATTACGCGAACTCAGAGCAAGTCAGACTACACAGGCTTAGTTTGCCAAAGGCTATGGCCTTAGATTCGATGGCTTTACAGCGCAGGGACGGGCATTCACGAACTTAGTGTTCGGCACGCATTTGTCACAGTGTCGTCTGCGCAACCTTATTTCTGCGAACATCGACGAGTCATTGTCGTTACATCATTCCACCTGTTTGTACGCAGGTGATTCGCACCTAGGATCTACTTGGAGGTTCAAGGGGGCTTATAAGTACATAGAAGTACCCTAGGTAAGGTTGCAACCATAGTTTGACTGCATATCGCGCTATTTCTACGTACTCGCGAACCTCCAAGTAGGCAGATTGGGAGTATCC